AGTTTCAAAGTAGCAACTTGAAGCTATATCATCTAATTAACATTCACTTTCTATATATTTTATCTGTCTCAACTTGAAAAACAAACACCAAGTGACATGTAATAAGCAGTCAGAAAAAAGATTTTTATTTTGTCTGCACCTTGGAAAATTCTGTTGGTAAAAAATATACAGATTCCATTTTACTTGTATTTTCTTTTTAATTAGATCAAGTGTTCATGTTGAACTGAATAAACTTGTCTTTCCCACAAGTCTTGGATTGGTCATACGCAATGATAAATCAATAAGTCTATAGCTTATTTCTTTATTATTTACTGAATTTTGATTTGAATTTTTCACTGTGTAGCATTCAATCTTTGATTATTATTCAGCATTAAATTAAGTGCATTGACAAGGAAAGATATTATATTGATATATATCTGTTGCATAAAAATAATGCTATTTAAATCTTTAGGTTGCAGTCATTGATGTACCTACATGTATTTATAATTAAGTACAATAATAAATTATTTACATTTAATATATATATGTATGTATATGTATATATATATATATGTATGTATGTATGCATCCTAACTTTAGTGAAAATGATAGAAAGTGACCACTGAATCATTTTGTGAAAAGAATACATGAATTTTAAACCGTCTGCAAATGTTAATGGTCAGGCATTTTCTTATGAATTAGACAGAAAAAGTTAATTTAATTCCATTTCCCTTAGGCATTTATAGCAAACGTTTTTTTTTATTAAACTTGTGTATTTTAGTAATATTTGGAAGAAGTTTCAATTGAGAGATGGATTTTAGTAACCAAATAATATCCAACCAATATATATATAAATATATATATACAGTGCTGTTCGATAAAAGTGATTCACGTGATTTTTTTTAGTAAATGTTCTCTTCTCCGATGAAACAAAAGTTGAGCTAAATTCAAAGGATAAGCGATCTAAAATCCGAAGAAGAAGCTTTGAAAGCTCTTTGAAGTTAGCAGTAAGTACTGTCAAGCATCTGTTCAGGATAATGTTCTGGGGATGCTTTTCTTTTCATGGAACTGGTTTCTTAAAACCTATTGAAAAGACCCTCAGGAGCGAGCAGTACAAGAGAATTTTAGAGTCTTGTCTGCTCCCTTCTGCTGAAAGGGTGCAAATCGACCCCACCAAGCTTATTTTTATGCAGGATAATGCTCCCTGTCACAAATCAAATTTGATGAAGGAATACTTTGATGAGAAGCAGGTGAGTGTTATGACATGGCCGCCCCATTCTCCTGACCTCAATCCCATAGAAAACTTATGGAGCATTATAAAGTACAGGCTCTCGAGAAAGCAGTTGAGCAACAAAGAGGATTTGATTGTGAATTTCATATCCGAATGGAATTCAATGCCTGGTGATGAGATTTGCCAGAACCTAATCAAGTCAATGCCAAAAAGGGTTGAAAAGGTTATTCAAAATAAAGGGGGACTCATAGATTATTAAATATTTCAAATTATATTACCTATTATAAATAAATTATACCTCTATTATTCTTTATTTAAAGCTGTTCGGTTATGTTACTATTGATTACTAGTTGCAGGAAATAAGTGAGTCACTTTTTTTAGCAGAGAGTTTTTCCCTAAATCTGATTTATATCCAAAATTATAATTATCAATAGAATACCTTAGGGTGAGTAAACTTTTTTACTAGGTGGTCGGGAAGGGATCTTTATATTAGTAAGATTAAAAATTAGTTTGACCCCAAAAACAATAGGCGAAAAATTTTAAAGTAAAAAACATCAGGTGAGTCACTTTTATCGAACAGCACTGTATATATATTGTATACTAGTTTAAAAGCTGTCTGATAGGGTGGTATTTAAGCTAGCTCCTGTGGATGGGCTCTTGCTTGGGCCTTCATCATGATAGGTAGGGCGGAGTAGATTTGTTAGGCAACAATAAACTACTGATCACTGCATTTAACACTTCCGCTGCTAACTACGGAGATCTTCGTTTTTCTTATCTTGCTCCAGCTGGCTAAGTACGGAAACCTACGTTTTTTGCATACCGCTGGTATGAGTGTCCCGTTGCGCCATCTATCGTAAAATACGGGAAACTGTTCTATCATGGAAATTATTAGTCAGCCTGGATTTTTCTCTACGTCATGGTAGTTTCATATCTAATTTGAAAATATTCCTGATGAAAATGCGGCTAGCATGCGGATGCTCCCAGCGCCCGTGACCTTGGGTCATACTGTCGGAGTTAACTCCTCCTTTCACTCCGTTAACCCTTTCACCAGGGGTCTCTCTTTCCTGGCTATAAATAGCCAATGACCCTTCACCTCTATCTCTTTTTCCTCCAGGCCTGTGTACTGACACCTTGAGGTAAACTCTCGTATTCCTAGAGAATTTTCAGCTATCAAACTCGAAATGTAGTCGCTAACAAGGGATAGCGTGGAAACACGCTAAGCACAATATTCAAACACGCACACACACACAGAATATTCACACACACACTTCGTCCTTTGTACTGTTTACATGTATCGTAACTTGTTATTAATATATATTTGTATATACATATATTATCGGTCTTGTTTTGTTTGCTTTCTTTACCTTCTACTTGATTATTTCTCTTGTTGTCTTTGTTACATTTAATATTGTAAAAATTGTAGAGGGTCAGTTTTTATTTCTATTTATAACGATTACAAATTGGCTGACCCACTATAAATTGGTGACCCCGAAGTTCAAATGTGCAAAGCAATATTTTAAAAACACACAAGACAATATATATGTACAAAAAAAAACAATTTCTTATATACACACCTTCACAAAAAGAGAGCCAGATAGGGAAAACATTGAAAAACGCACGCCGTACACTAGAACAACAATTACTACTATTCAAGGCGAACCTGAACTCTTCCCCCACTGGTCTATGTTTGCTTGACCCTTTCTCTCGGCGACGTTTGACCTAATTTCGCCCAGCACACATACTTAAGGCTGTACCGAACGGAAAAACAACGCCATTTTTCTACCAACCAACACTATCCTCTTCTGGACTGAAACAGATAAAGTGTAAACCCAAACCACTTAAGGCGAACCACTGTCCTTTATTCTCAAACAACTGGTGATTCCGACATGGAAGCGACACACAAGTTTCATTGGAATGATTCTACAACTTTCTCTGGACGACTCACTGTTCCATTACGATGCGACATCATTGAGGATTTGCATGCATGTAATTCGTCCATATTAATCTTGCAAATTCCGCTTTTTTCCAACACATGCTACTGGTTATAGCATTTCGCATCTTCCATTCTGAAACTCAAACAACGCGCGCATTCATTTTTCCTACACCACGTGGCGACATCTTCACGCCACCGCTTGCTTCCCATGCTTCAAACTATTTTTTCGGACGACTTACTGCTTCGAAAAACATTTTCAATGATTACACTCTGACGACAACACAAGCACATTTCATGAATCACGCATCTCAACCACACTTCTGACACATTTTCTTTTCAGCCCAAAAGAACAATATTCAGACTTTAACGAACCTTTTTCTTTACATATTAAAAGTTTTCATTTCCTTACAACTTTTAATCTGGTAGGGGGCATTGTCGGAGTTAACTCCTCCTTTCACTCCGTTAAACCTTTCACCAGGGGTCTCTCTTTCCTGGCTATAAATAGCCAATGACCCTTCGCCTCTATCTCTTTTTCCTCCAGGCCTGTGTACTGACACCTTGAGGTAAACTCTCGTATTCCTAGAGAATTTTCAGCTATCAAACTCGAAATGTAGTCGCTAACAAGGGATAGCGTGGAAACACGCTAAGCACAATATTCAAACACGCGCACACACACAGAATATTCACACACACACACACTTCGTCCTTTGTACTGTTTCCATGTATTGTAACTTGTTATTAATATATATTTGTATATACATATATTATCGGTCTTGTTTTGTTTGCTTTCTTTACCTTCTACTTGATTATTTCTCTTGTTGTTGTCTTTGTTACATTTGATATTGTAAAAATTGTAGAGGGTCAGTTTTTATTTCTATTTATAACGAATACAAATTGGCTGACCCACTATAATACCAAGATGGCGGCGCCCATGAAACGAGCAGCGCGTCTGTCTGCGGAAGATGTTTTGGCAGAAATGTTTGCTGACGATGACTGAATCAGATCGATTTAGCTAAAATTCTGATTCTGATGATCCCGAGTACGTGCGGGAGGATGGTAATGGTCGTGAAATTGAAACTGACGGAAATATTAGCGATGATTTGAGCGATCACGGTGATGTTGACGTGAATGTTCATCATGGCCAAGGTGATGGTCAGCCCGTAGGTGTAGTAAATAATGTAATGCCTGCAGCACCTGGTGGGCCTGTTGCAAAGCCTGCAGCACCCGCTGTGCATAGGCGTGGCCCTGCTGATACTGGTAATGCTCCACAGCCGGCTCTAGCCCGTGGTAGACGAAATCAGGACAGGAGAAATCAAAATCAAGTGGGGGACTGGACAAATATTGACAGACTTCCACATGTGCATCAGTTCACTGGCATTCCAGGCATAAATATGCAGCCCAAAGATCCAGGGTGTTGCCTTCAGTGGTTGAAAATGTTTCTCACGTATGACCTTGTAAACATTATTGTGCAAGAAACAAATAGATATGCTCCTCAATATTTCCAAGAACACCCCAATCTGAAACAGTATTCTCGCTGTCGCAGGTGGAAGGACTTGACAACGGAAAACTTTTGGCTGTTCTTGGCCCTACTGTTCAACACAGGAATTGTGAAAAAGCCTGAAATTCAGATTTACTGGAGAACTGATCGGAAAGTGGCGACCCCGTTTTATTCAGAGACCATGGCTAGGGATAAATTTTTTCTGATTCTGAAGTTTCTTCACTTCAGTGACAATAATGCTCGCCCCGACAATGATGAACATCGGCTCTACAAGATCCGTCCTGTTTATGATTACATTATAAACAGGTTCAAAGCTGTGTACACTCCTGAGGAAAAACATTCCCTAGATGAAGGGATGCTCAAATGGCGTGTCCATGTGAGATTTCAGGTCTATAATCATCAGAAGCCTGACAAATATGGGATGAAAGGGTACATTGTTTCCGCGTCGAGTAGTGGTTACGTCTGTAACTATGAACTTTATTGTGGTTTTGGCGGAAGAGTTCAGCAGGTCTGTGGTGGACTTCTGGAGCACCTATATGGCTTTGGCTATAAAGTGGACAACTATTACAACAGTGTCGCATTGGCCAAATTCTTTCTGGAAGATGAGCGGAAAGTTCATGTTTGTGGTACACTTCGGCTGAACCGTGGTGCTCCTCGTGACCTGCGACAGGAAGCTGATCGCCTTCAGCGGGGATAGGTGACATTTCGTAGGGATGGAGATGTGTTAGTGCTCGTGTGGAAGGACAAACGCCCAGTGAAAATGATCTCCACTCTCCATGACTCTAGGATGGAAGATTCTGGTACTCAGGACAAGAACAATCAGCCAATTCGAAAACCTGCATGTGTGCTGGACTACAACAAACATATGTCAGGTGTTGACAAACTGGACCAGATGGTAAAATATTATCCCTGTACGCGCAAAACCATCAAGTGGAGCAAGAAATTTGTGCTATATTTGTTTGAATTGCGCATTGTGAACTCCCACATCCTGTACAACAAGGCAAATCCACAGAGAAAACTTGCATTGCTGTATTTCAGGATGGAACTGATTGATGACATTCTTGCAGAATTTGGTCAAGCCGAGGCTGCCACCCCCGACCAACATTCCTCTGACTCTGAAAATGAAGGGGAAGCTCCTCAAGCTGTGGTATGTCCAAGGGCACCTAAAATTGATCCTGCCAATCGCCTGGTTGGTGGAATGAAAGCTCATGACTTGGTACAAGAAAAGGTACCCTTACAAGCCATGCAGAGTCTGCAAAAAAGCTGCAAAACGCTCAGAAACAAGGTACTTCTGCAAAAAGTGTGAAGTCCCACTCCACAAAGTTTTATATTGTGTGGGTATATATGTAGGATAAGACATATCGATATAAGACTGACAAGAACATGTGTGAACATTAAGACATCTTTATTGCAACTGTCGTGTTAGTAGTGGTTAAACAAACTTGATGCTGATTGGCTAAGGGCCACTGTCCCTGTGGTAGTGAGAGGGAGTGGTAAAGGGGAAACGATCCATCTCTAACATCTCCGGTTTTCTAATAAAAAGTTTTTTGTTCCAATATTGTTCATTGAATATGTTTTCATAATCGACTTGTGTTGAGGTAGTGTTTCTTGATTGTTTTTCATTTGTTTTTAATAAGGACGTCTATTACGTCGAAAGTAGTTTCCTTCTTCTGTTTTTACTAAATATGAACGAGGTTCATTCAATTTCTTTACCCCTTCTTTCTTGTTTCCAATTCCTTGGAATCTTATAACAGTCGTTTGTTTTCATTTCTACTTTTTATAGTCCTGGAAGAGTCCATGTTGTAGGTATGTTTACGGTCTCTCAACACCCCCTGGTTGCTTCCAAGAGTTTTTTTTTTTTTTTTTCGTTTGTGGAAAGTTCGAGAAAAAAAAAAACAATTTTGAAAATATTCTTAATACTTTTTTCTCTTGGGATTTATTTTGTTTATCACCGTTTGCGGTTGAGTTTAAATTTCTCGTTTTCCTTCCTGAGCGTCGCACTTCAGGAGAGACTTTCCGGGGCGTGTCGAGATCATGAAGTGATCGAAAATTACGTCCAGATCGGCTCTTCAACAGCTATTTTTGTTTTAGTGATTCCTCCGATTCCTTCAAACGGCATTTTTTTTGGTCTGAGCTGGTTCCAATGGCGTTTGTGAGTGTTTTTCGGACGGGCATGTATGGAGCAATTTCAGGATATTTTGGCTTGGACAATATAGACCAGTTCGCCAATTCTTTGTTTTATGGTGCCTACTTCCCAGAATGTTATGTTGTTTTTTTTAAGCCTTGAAAAAGACTTTATCGCCAGGATTGAAATATTTCTTATGAGGCGATACGGTTTTTTTTTTTAACTTTGCTTGCCGTGGAATAAGTTTGTTTTATGAAGACAGACTTGATTTTCCTTGAAAACATTGTTTCTGCAGGCGAGACTTCCCATAGGCGTGTTCGGATTAGGGGTTATCCGATACACCTGCAGAAACTGTTGCAATGCTCTATCTGTCGGTGTGCCTAGTGCCTTTTTAAAGCCCTTTTTAGAGTGTCCACGAACCTTTCGGCCTGGCCATTCGACCTAGGGTGGTACTGAGGCGTTGTAATGTGGTCCACCTGATATGACTTTCGTCCGGGGAAGTCTCTAAATTCAATACTTGATGTGAATTGAGTGCCATTATCTGTAACTACACAATCTACCACGCCAAAACGCGCGAATAGCTCGTGTAGAAATCCGATCGTGCAGTTTGTGGTTGGTCTTTTTGCATTGTAGGACCTCAGGCCATTTTGAGTGGCTATCCACAACAATGAGGTAGTACATGTTGTCTATAGGCCCTGCAAAATCGACATGAATTCTTTGCCATGGATGGTCTGTGTTTGGCCATGGTTTTTGCACGTCGTGGTTGGAGCTTTTGCTGCAAGCGCGCATCCTTTGCATGATTCTATCATGTTTGCTATGTCCTTGTCCATGTTTGGCCAATAAACATAGCAGCGCATGAGGCTTTTTTCGTACGGTTCTTCCCCGGATGTCCCATGAAAAATCCCTGAGGATTTTTCTTTGTAGACTGTTTGGAATCACTACGCGGTCATTGTATAGTAGGACATCATCGAAGAGGGAGAAAACTTCAGGCACATTGGGGTCTTTATTGCAATTTTGCTTTTTATGGATTGAATGAATTCATCCTCTCGAGACTCCCTTTTATGTCGGCCAAAGTAACTGGGAGCTCTCTTATGGTACTCGCGATCATGTTTTTGATTTCACAATTTGTCCTTAGAGTAGCAATGATGGAGTCTTCAAAGACTTCTGTATTTTTTGGAATGAATCGCGATAAACTGTCTGCATGGCAAAAATTTTTGGATGTTAGGAACTCTATCTTGAAATTGAGTTTAAGAGAATCGTTCCCCAACGAAGTAGTCTATGTTATAGACTGGCAGACCTTTTTTAGAACCAAAGATTGTAATTAGAGGTTTATGGTCCGTCTGTAGTATGAACTGTTTTGTAGGTATCTGTGAAACTTTGTCACAGCGAAGATTATCCCTAGAGCCTCTTTCTCTATTTGGGAATATTGTTTCTCAACTGGAAGTAGAGATCTTGATGCGTGAGACACAGATTTTCACGAACCATCTGGCAGTTTATGTAGAATGCAAGCACCGATGCCGTACGAGCTTGCATCATTTGCGACTATGATGTCGAGACTAGGGTCGTAGTGGGTGAGAGAGAGGTCCGAAAAATGGTTTTTGATCTTCTCGAATGCGTCTTGGCATTCATCCATGACCATGGTTTGTCCTTTTTTAAGATTGGTTGAGAGGACTTCTCAAATTTTGCATGTTCTTAATGAACCCTTGGTAAAATTTACTTCAGGTAACGCTTGAATGTTATCTGGGGCCGGCATGTTTTTGTTGGCTCTTTCTGGATCCGGCCGACGACCGTCTTTATTTATGATGTGACCTAAGTATTTAATATCAGTCACAAAAAGTCATTCCTTAACCTTAAATCCGTATTCTTGTATCTTTTCGAATACGTTTATTATATGGTTCCGGTGCTCTGCCGTAGTTTTACTAGTAACCAGTATATCATCCAAATAGGCTGTTGCGTAGTCAAGGTCGCCCTGTTTGCAGGCGCAACCTTTAATCCAAAAAGCCAGTTTGTTGCATTTGTACAACCCTCTGGGTGTTTATGCAGAGCAATTTGAACTTTCTTCTTCCACCTCTATCTGAAGGTATGCGTCCGAGAGGTCGATTTTAGAAAAAAAATTTTCCCCCATTGAGTTTATTGAAAATTTCTTCAGGGCTTGGGAGAGGATAGTGGTGATCTTTCAAGGCATCGTTTAACCCTGTGGAAAAATCTGCGCATACTTATTTGGTTGGACTTTTTTTTTACGTAGACCGAGGTGCTGCCCACTAAATCTGTTTTTGACAGAATACCTTTTGTTCGAGTCTATCTAACTCTTTGTTGATTTGCTCTAGAGCAGCGAAAGGGACATTCCGTTTCTTTTTGAATACAGGTTGTACACCGTCCTTCACCTTGAACTTAGCTTTCATTTTAGTATATTTCCCAAGGCCGCCAGAAAAAAATCTGGGGAAATAGTTGTTTGAGATTTACCAAATTGGATGTTGTACTTTGTATCTTGCGACAAAATGTACTCATTGGACAATCCTAAAGATTGAATTTTTCTATCCAATCTGTTCCAAATAAGTTATCTGAAGTTTTCAATACGTAGGCTTTGAGCTTTTTGGTAACTCCATTTAGTGTTACTGTAAGTATTACCTCGCCTAAAATGTTAATCTTTTCGCCAGTTACGGATTTTGCTGTTTTCTCCGTTTTTAATAAGGTCGGCTTGTTTAATTTTCGCCAACTACGCCAGTTAATGGTTGAAAGATTGGAACCCGAGTCAAGCTGGAATTTAATGGAATTATTGAAAATATCTACAGTTACATATTTCCTTAAATTCCTATCGATAATATTGTCAGATTGAGTTTGCCTAATTTTATTTTTGGATTTTCTCGTTTTGTTGACGTACCAGCACCGCGTTAAAGTATGCCCATTTCTATTGCAATTTTTGCAATATTTTTTGTTCTTAACTGGACAGAATTTCATCCAATGCCATTTACCACAATGGTAACATGGTCCGGGCGGTTTCTTTAACCTATTTGGGTTTGGGTTACTGCGGAATTTAGGACATGAGATTTGCCTTTTGTCTTTTTGAGGGGAATAGGAGGTAGACTTGCTTCTGATTTTATTAATCTGAGCCACACCTGATTCCTCGATAGTGTTTGAGTCACACTTTACAGATATTACTCTTTGACAGTCCTCTGCCAGTTTTTGGAGAGTCAATCCTTGTTCGTTCTCAAGCTTGGTCAGTACCCGTCGTCTGACTTCGGCGTCTTCTGCTGATACTAGACCTTGTGCGAAAATTTAGCACTTGAAATCATCGGCAGTCAGTTCGGCTAGTTTAAAATCATTACAGAGCTCGTTTACCGATGCTGCAAACGTTAGAAAATCTTGCTGGTTGTCTTTGACTGTGTTCAGGCATTTCCAACGTTTGTGGAACAAGGTTGTGTTAGGCCCGAATAGTTCCGATAGGAGCTTAATGGTCTCTGAAAAATCCAAGTCTGTGGTTTTTTGGGTAGTATGAAGTCTACGAACCTACTATGTTCTGTAGTTCCCAGTTTTCTCAATAGTAGACGTACCTTTTTTTTTTTACTGGGCCATTGTTCACAGTCTACGTTGAAAATATCTTCGTAGCGCCTGTAAAAAAAGCCTCGAACGTTTTGTCGTTCTCTGGTACGTATTCAA